GTCTCGAGATACCTTACTGCCTTATACAGGGTGACCCCCAAAAAAGTTGGTAGAAGTAAAGGCTTATAACTCGAAAAGTGTAAAATGTAGAAAGATGAAATGAAAACCACATGAAAGAGTATAACTTCAAGTTTTATTTGGTATCCATGTTACTATGTAAAGTTCTCTATATATTGAACTGTAAGCGACTGTAAAGTGCGGCATAAGCTGTAACCGACTGTATGGTCCATTCTTTTTAGCGCATTTTCTCATTTATGGAAAAAATGCACTATTGTGCTCGCCATGTCCGTCAGTCTGTCTGTCTGTCCGTCCGTCCGTCTGTCCGTCCGTCCGTGACCTCAAGTTTTCGTCGACGAGAAAATGCGCTCTCTGTCACTCACTGCAGTGAGTATTGAGTTATATTTTATGAAGATGCTCAGACCGGTAATGCTTGCACCGTCACAACTGAAACTTGACTTGGGATGCTAGAAACTGTAATGGATGTTGTTAATATCACTCCAGATATCTGGTTCCAGCAAGACGGCGCCACTGCACAAACTTCGGTAATTGCTAGAGATTGGTTAAAATCGCGATTTGGAAATAAGGTTATTTCGCATCTTACAGACTTCCCATGGCCGGCTAGGTCCCATAACCTTTCGCATTTGAATTTCTCCTATAGAGTTACGTGAAAGAAGAAGTATTCAGTACAAGACCAAGCAGCATTGACCATCAGAAGATCTTGGTATTCGTGAAGCTCTCGCACTTATTGACCAGGATACCTTGTCTGCAGTAACCGCAAATTTTGAAAAACGTATTAATAATAATAATAGCGGTTTCAGCGTTTAGTAGGCCGTAGGCCTGTCGCCGATTCTTAACATCGCAGAACATTCACAGTATTTTGCAGTCTCGAACTCACAACACACTGCTTCAATTCTGCTTTGCTTAACTGCCCGGCCTCTTTGCCGATTCTTACCAGAAACTGGCGCACAGAGCTGGGATCGAACCCGCGCCTCTCTGCTCCAATCCTGGTACTCTGAACTTTAACCAATGGGCCACCCCATTGAGCTGTGTATTCAACAGCGTGGTCATTTTGAACATTTATTTATGAACATGTGGTTTTATTTCATCTCTCTCTCTCTCTCTGTTGTAGCTTTTCGAGGTAGAAGCCTTCACTTTTACCAACTTTTTAGGAATGGCGGACTTTTTAGGAACGGACAACTTTTTAGGAATGGAGGAATGGCGGTGCAGTAGTTTGCTATAAAAGTAGCAGTATAAATAGCGGTTTCAGCGTTGATTAGGCAGTTCGACCTGATTCTTAATACCCTTTATCGCCCGAATTTCTGGGACAAAAATCGTAAATTTCACTTTTTCGGTTTTTAGTCTCGCCTTAAAGCTGACATTCTGACCTATCCAACGGTACCAAAAATCATTTATGTACGTTGATTTATGCCTTGACGACAGTTCGCGAAAGGGTTAGGGGTGGGGGAGTTCTTTCACATTTAATATAGGCGAAAATTACCGGCGCACATAATTAGACGACCTGAAGACGCTGATCTTTAGTTGCCCGGCTGCAGTCGTGTGGGATGTCGCTCATGCAGTCGTTCCCACCATCTTTAACTGAATTTCAGCTCCAGTAACGTCTAGTCTTGTATCCAAGCCACCTTGAATGCCTATTTCGAGGCGCTCGGGACTTTGCCGCGCTCTACTGAACATTCACACTTATTGTCACTGCAAACCTATCTCCTCCTAGAGTTTTTAAGCTACAGCAATGAGAAATATACCGTTCGATTCACAAATAAAAGATCTGGAGATTGGTCGTAGCTTTTTTTTCCATTTCGTAATAGTTTTGAAAAAAGGGAGGGGGAATTCGAAAATGTGGGGGGAGAAATCCAATTTTTTTTCGAAAAAATGCCCACCCCACCCACAAAAATTGAAATTTTGAATAACAGCAAGGACCAATCGATAGATATGGTCCTTAGGCATCGAATGATATGCGTATCGATGTTGTAGCTTGAAAATCCTAAGAGGAGATAGATTTCTACAGTACCCCCTTTTTGGTGGTTTTTCTAAGAATTTCACGTCTTCTTTCACTTTTTTCGAAAGATTTACACGAACAAAAAAGTCTTAGATTTATCTTTTACATATGTGTACCAAGTTTCAAAGTGATCCGTCCATAAATAAAAAAAAAATTCCACAAGAAATTGGAAATTGCTATTGGAAATTGGAAATTTTATTTCGGTTATTTACAGACATATAACTTTGAAACTTGGTACACATATGTAAAAAATAAATCTAAGAATTTTTCTATTCGTGTGAATTTTTCGCAAAAAATGAAAGAAAACGTGAAATTATTAGAAAACCGATGGTTTTTTAAAGGCGACTTGAAAGTCCGATTTGGCGGTAGAGGGTTAACATCGCCGAATATTTACAGCCTGTTGTGGTCTCGAACACGCTACTCACTGTTCCAATTTTATTGTGCTTGACCACCCGGCCTCCTTGCCGATTTAACAAGAATCGTCCCAGGAAACGGGGACCGAACCCACGACTTTCTGCTCTAATTCTGGTACTCCGAACTGTAATCACTAGGCCACCCATCTCTATGTATTACAGTATTGATATTGTTTGTGCCAGATCTTGCTTGTTGCCTATTCCAAACATCACCTAATTCTTGCAGTAGCTCACCTTTTCAACTTACTGCCAGCCAGACGTTACGCCAGCCAGACGGCAATGAGGCCGCTTTTGACAGAACTGTCGCACAAGCTGGGATCGACATGGGCAACTCTACTACAATCTTAATACTTTCAAGTTTTAACAGCTTGGAAACTCTGCCGGACACGGTAAAATGACCGCTAGAAATATAGTCAGAAATGGATAATTTTTTCCTTTGCATTTTGACACCTCAAGAAACCCATAATCGGAATTTGGTTCGAATATCCATGCGCTACCGATTGAGAACGTCAGCTCACATCTAAACCACCAGATGATATTTTAATGTGGCCTTCCTGATCGCAATAACGTCTCGGACAAAGTGGATTACCAAACTTCCAGCCATTCCTGCAGAAGTTGTAGCCATATCACCACGAGTAGTTTGTAAACTACATGCAGGTAGTTCACAAAAAAACAACAGCAAACACATAGGTTATAAGTGGCGTTTACAAAATCGTAACTTTTAAGTTGCGTCGTAATCTCATTACATGCTTCTGAAAATATGTAGATCAGTAGTTTGCTTGAATCGCGAAAAAATTATAGAGCAAAGAGAAGGCCAACTGAATTGACAAAAACGTTACAGGAATATTCGTCTGCTAAGCGTATCAACTGAAATTAGGATGAATTAGCTGGCCATTATCTAGCTTTGAAATCTTAGAAAATCTTCCAACATATAAAGTCAATTTAAGCCGGAGAACTCGGAGCTGCACAAACTCAATTACGTTTTCTGTCACATGCATAGTTTCGAATGTTTTGTTATCACTCTGAACCAAATCATAAGTTAGCGGGTGATGTAAAAAAGGAAATGCGCCATCGTTCAGAATATTAAGTTCAGGCATAGTCGCCAGTTACCTCATAACTATCACTTGATTGTATGAGCTCACACCTAGCCATAAATGCTAGTCTCTAGTTATAGTTTATGGAAGAATCTTTACGTTTCATACACATTCTCGGAATTTTTCCTCGTAAACTCCACGAAGCACAATAATAATGAAGCAGACAAGGGACAATAATCACAAATTTCAGGTTTACGAGTTTATTAACAACTTATTGGTTACGATGTATGACACAACAGCTGCGACAATAGAGCTATTGCGGTCAGTCCGTCGCTCAGCAACTTCTCCAATTATCACAACTCGGGAAGAACGAGATAATCTTACAGAAGATTAACCAGTATGGATTAGCAATCCTTGACGAGTGAGGGGGTGAGAGAGGGACGAGTGAGAGGGTGAGAGAGGGGACGAGAGAGGGGGTGAGAGAAGGGTTGTGAGAGAGGGACGAGTGAGGGGGTGAGAGAGGGGGACGAGAGAGGGAGGTGAGTGAGGCCACAAGATAACAAGCAGACATCATGTGAGGCCACAAGATAACAAGCAGACATCATGTGAGGCCACAAGATTAGCGCCCAGCACAGTTCCGACGTCTCCATTTCCAGCCCCCGGAGCACCCCCAGTCTACAGACCCAGAGATGCTAACGCAATATAAACTTTCGGCCGACATTTCGACAGCAAGTAACGCACAAAATTTGAATAAAGCCAAGAGTGAGCGACAGGAAAAACTTGTTTCATAACTTACTCGTTATTTTCATTATGTGTTGCAGGATTTAGATGCAGCACCAACCTATCCAATCCCTTGCCCTGAGCAGCTGTCTGTACCTGAGAAGTACAGTTGTAGCCTAGTCTGCTAATAGCTACCGTGAATGTATCTTGACAATGTTACAGTCTGTACAGTAATTTGAAGTGTCGTGTCGTGCTAATCAACTTTAACTAGTTAATGCCATTTTAATGAAAAAAGTTTAATAAACAGTCTTGTCTGATGCCAATTACGATTTAACGAAAGTGATATCAAGTAAACTATTTTAAGCATGATCTATTCAGATTTTAATTCTTCGCCGTTGAAACGGCACCGGAAACGTGAGCCATGAACAGACTTGTCTCAGATTTTGACTAGAGAAAATAAACGAGGCACAGATTAAATGTGCACAGCCGCCTCAACGTTAATACACAATCAAGGCTATTCGTACCTAAAGGCAGTCACAATCAATGATATTCGTACCTAAAGGCAGTCACGATCAATGCTATTCGTACCTAAAGGCAGTCACAATTAAAGCTATTGTACCTAAAGGCAGACAAAATCAATGCTATTCGTACCTAAAAGAAGTCACAATCAATGCTATTCGTACCTAAAGGCAGTCACAATCAATGCTATTCGTACCTAAAGGCAGACACAATCAATGCTATTCGTACCAAAAAGAAGTCACAATCAATGCTATTCGTACCTAAAGGCAGTCACAATCAATGCTATTCGTACCNGGCAGTAACGCTACCTGTGGGGGCGCTACAGGAGCGGCAGTAACGCTACCTGTGGGGGCGCTACAGGAGCGGCAGTAACGCTACCTGTGGGGGCGCTACAGGAGCGCAGTAACGTTACCTGTGGGGGCGCTACAGGAGCGGCAGAGCGCCACTCGCGCTGCAGCTGCGCCAGCATGGCGGGGGACAGAAGCCCTTGTGACAGCAGCCGCTGCGTCAGGCGCCCTCGACCTCCGCTGGGCTGCTGCGGGTGAGGGTCTTCCTCCTCGTACGTCGGGTCTGCTTCGTCGAGCTGCACCACCACAGAGTCTGCGCAATGGACGTGTTACTCGTCACTGAACAAACTGTGCTAATATGCCACGCAGGGGTCAGGGTTATGAGGCGTCGCCTCTCAGTCCCCACGCTTCCCCCCTCAGTTCCCGCGCCTCACCCCTCGGCCCCCGCGTCTCACCCCTCAGTCCCCACACCTCACCCCTCAGTCCCCGCGCCTCCCGCTCCTTGCGTCTGAGGATGGTCAAGGCGCGCCTCACCCCTCAGTCCCCGCGTCTCACCCCTCAGTCCCCACACCTCACCCCTCAGTCCCCGTGTCTCACCCCTCAGTCCCCACGCCTCACCCCTCAGTCCCCGCGCCTCCCGCTCCTTGCGCCTGAGGATGGTCAAGGCGCGCCTCACCCCTCAGTCCCCGCGTCTCACCCCTCAGTCCCCACACCTCACCCCTCAGTCCCCGTGTCTCACCTCTCAGTCCCCACACCTCACCCCTCAGTCCCCGCGCCTCACCCCTCAGCCCCCGCGCCTCCCGCTCCTTGCGCCTGAGGATGGTCAAGGCGTCCTCGGTGTCGAGGTGGGCGGTGGTGCCGGGGCCGCTGTTGCGTAGCAGCGTCGTGAGGCTCGCCACGCTCTGCTCGATGAGGCCGTCCAGCTCCGTCTGGATCACCTTCACCGACTCCATCTCAGGGAACGTCTCAGGGAACCGGTACCTAGGGAGAACTCCAGCTCAGGAACTATCAACAATCCTACTCCATCAGGTCTAATGGATTGAAATCCTTCCTATGGACACTTCGAGCTCAGGAACTATCAACAATCCTCCTCTATCAGGTCTAATGGATTGAGATCCTTCCTAAGGACACTTCGAGCTCAGGAACACACAACAATCCAATTCCATCAGGAATTTACTTATATTTCCAGTCCAAACAAAGGGACGTTGAGAACATTGCTACCATTTCTTCTCATATCAAGCAAATAACTCAAATGTCCTTCCTTATGAAGCAAGGACCCTTCAAAGTGTAGGTTCTACCCGAGTTTTTGACTCCATTTCAGGCAAAGCCCACCAAAAGTTTGAGGAGCGCTACAGCTTTTAATGGTAGGGACAAGGAGCATAAGAGATCTGGTCACATTAATTGTCGCAATGATGTAGACGGAAGTATTTTTTTCACTTGCTATTAATCTTATGTGTAACGTGCCCTCGAAGTACATTTGAACCAGACGACGACGCGATAAATGCTTCGTAGAATAATAATAATAACTAGAGCACCAGCACCACATTGGTACTAGGGAACTAGAGCACCACATTGTTACTAGGGAACTAGAGCACCAGCACCACATTGGTACTAGGGAACTAGAGCACCAGCACCACATTGTTACTAGGGAACTAGAGCACCAGCACCATATTGTTACTAGGGAACTTGAGCACCAGCACCACATTGTTACTAGGGAACTAGAGCACCAGCACAATATTGGTTAGATGGAACTAGAGCACCAGCACCATATTGTTACTAGGGAACTAGAGCGCCAGCACCACAGCGGTACTAGGGAACTAGAGCACTAGCACCACATTGGAACTAGACATTGCTACTAGGCAGACCGTCACTATAGGAATAATCAGTGTCCATACAATTACCTTAGTTCAACTAACTAAATTTCAGTTTAACGTCATTCGGTCTGAGTAATATAATGCGGTTTCAGCGCTTATTAGGCCGTAGGCCTGTTGCCGATTTCTAACATCGCAGAACATTCACAGCTTGTTGCGGTCTCGAACTCACAACTCACTGCTTCAATTCTGCTGTGCTTAACCGCCCGGCCTCCTTGCCGATTCTGACCAGAAACTGTCGCACAGAGCTGCGATCGATTCCGCGCCTCTCTGCGCCAACCTTGGTATTCTGAACTGTAACCACTGGGCCACCCTGTGATTAAAAAAAATATAACTCAGTACTCACTGCAGTGAGTGACAGAGAGCGCATTTTCTCGTCGACGAAAACGTGAAGTCACGGACGGGCAGACAGACAGACAGACGGACGGACGGACATGGCGAGCACAATAGTGCATTTTTTCCATAAATGAGAAATGCGCTAAAAATGTTTTGATACAGACCCCAGCCAGAGGTAGAGGTCGAACACGTCGAAGACCTCCTCGAGGCGGACGAGGTCCAGGATGGTCTGAGGGACGGCGAAGGGCCACTTGACTTGCTGACACAGCCACGCCAGACTCGCGGGCTCTGCTTGCGCGTACTGCCGTGCGAACTGCACAACACAGCTGTATAGTCGCGGTACACAGCTTACAGTCGAGACACGTCAGCATAGCGTTATATAATGTCTAAGTGAACATCGCTTAAATTAATATCTAGGCAGTGACAGGGAGATCTATCACCTCTAAATATCCCTGCTATTTCATTGCTGTTATAAACCAACAAATATCTAGGCAGTGACAAGGATATCTAGCACATCTAGATCTCGCTGCCCCTGCCGTGTTCCGCAACATGGAAATTCAAGCACAAAACCAGAGATCCGTGCCTCTGACATCTTAGTGGAAGTTATGGGACGGTAACGTCTAGATTACCAAAATAAATAGAAGATTACCAAGGTAACATGCAACGCACCTTGAGGAACATGGCGCAAACGAAGGGCATCTTCCTGCTGATGGGGGCGCAGCAGAAGAGGTAGCGGGCACGCAGGGGCATGCTGATGTGCTGGATGAGGTCGGCCAGGAACTTGAAGTCTTCCATCGCACACACGAAATACAGAGACTCGTCCACGGTGCACACGTTCACGAATATGTCCTGCACGAAATACAGAGACTCGTCCACGGTACACACGTTCACGAAAATGTCCTGCACGAAATACAGAGACTCGTCCACGGTACACACGTTCACGAATATGTCCTACATGTGCACCAGCAGTAAACATTTGATATAAACATGTTTAGGACATATTCAGCTCTCCTGTTTATAAATATTTATCTCGTTATCCACCTTGAACAGATGATAAGTACAGATATATTTAAACTTTGTTAAATTTGTTAATCAAACATTGTAAAAACATAGCGTAGCTTAACTTAGCTAGCAAGCTCGTTACTGTGGACGTATTTTATCAGTTGCTCTGCCGCAAATTTTCACGGTCACATCGCAGAGACATTGTCAGAGCGCATGGCAGTCAGAGATGACCTCTTGACAGAGCGTATGAGAGTGTAGTGAGGCACTAGTGAGGCACTCACTATGAGGTTGGAGAGGGTGTAGTGAGGCACTCACTATGAGGTTGGAGAGGGTGTAGTGAGGCACTCACTATGAGGTTGGAGAGGGTGTAGTGAGGCATGAGGTAGGCGAAGAGTTCGATCTGCTCGGCCGTGGGATGTAGTCCCGCTTGTCTCAGAGGCTCAGGTCGGCTGCTCAGGAGGCGTCGCAGGGTCGGCAGGTCCTCAGGCTTCATGCAGGTCACGAAGCCCTGGGGACGCGAGGCAAACGTTAGGCTGGGGCTAAACCTGGGCCCTCAGTGTAGGGCTAATTTAAAGTCTAAACCTGAGCCCTCAGTACGGGCTAATTTAAGGACCTAAGCTCAGGCTTATTCAACATATCAAGGAAACATTTTATTCAATGAACCGAATTTATTCCGCCTCTTTAGAATACATTAATTAATGGGATTTGAGGCAATACTTTGGCGAGCCAATCCCCCCTCCCCCCGGACCGCAATTGGCAATCCAGAGTCGTGCGGATATTAAAGTATTCCTATGTTTGAGGTTGTTGATCTCGCTACTGCGTGCCATATTGTCCCGCTATCTGAAGATATCTTACATGGTCCCACTGCGTGCCATATCGTCCCGCACGTCCCGCGATCTGCAGGGCCTGGGACACCGACAAAGTTTCCATCTCCTTCTCGCCCTTAGCGTTGATGAACGGCTTGATGAGCGAGTAGAACACGACCCTCCTGATGCTCCTGAAGCAGAGTAAACAATTGTAGGACTTGCCTGTAGAAAACCAAGGTAAATAAGTGTAAAACTTAGCTGCAGAAAACCAAGGTAAATAAGTGTAAAACTTGGCTGTATAAAACAGAGGTAAATAAGTGTAAAACTTGGCTGTATAAAACAGAGGTAAATAAGTGTAAAACTTGGCTGTAGAAAACCAAAGTAAATAAGTGTAAAACTTGGCTGTAGAAAAGCAGGGTGAACAATTGTAAAACTTGGCTGTAGCTGCAAGCTCTGAAGCTGAAAGATGTTATACTTAGTAGCACCCCATGCCTATAGCGTCAGTAGCACCACTCACAGGTTCAGACCCATGCCTATAGCGTCAGTAGCACCACTCACAGGTTCAGCCCCATGCCTATAGCGTCAGTAGCCACCAGAATCTTGCAGGGGTTCGATGGGTCGTTGAACTTCTGCGCCATGGCAAGCTTAGTGCCCGGAGGGAGGCCTGCAAAGATCATAAACAATGTAAATAATGGATAGAGATCGATAAATTGAGTTTTTCACATTAGCAGAAACTGATGTTTAGTCTGGAATACTGTATACGGTAGTTGTGGTAAATTCACAACTCACTTGAACGCTCACTGAGCTTGGGTGACGGTAAACTAACATCAACAAACACGAAGTATGACTTCTACGCTTTATGAAGCTTTTCATACTCTTGAAACCTTCTATAAAAGTTTCCTCCACATGCAGCGGATAGGTTTTGCACCTGATTAAATTCAGCTATGCACATTCTTTCATTTAGAACGTTATCTGAGGAACCAAAAAATTGAGGTAAATTGTGTAATTCGCAGGAATTTCCTCATTATTCAACGACGTTAGAGATTTACTTTAATTCAGTTTCTTCACATCGACACACACTACCCGGCCATTCCCCCACCTCCTCCCTCCCCCACACACACCCACCACCCACCTCCATATATGACGGCGACCTGATGCCCCACCACCCACCTCCATATATGACAGCGACCCACCAGCCACCACCCACCACCCACCAATCACCTCCATATATGACGGCGACCTGATGACCTACCACCACCCACCTCCATATATGACGGCGACCCACCACCCGGTTAAATTCAGTTTCTTCACATCGACACACACTACCCGGCCATTCCCCCACCTCCTCCCTCCTGCCACACCACCCACCACCCACCTCCATATATGACGGCGACCTGATGCCCCAGCTTCTCGACGGCACGACTCACGTAGTGGACGTCCTTTTTGCTGAAGCAGACGACGCAGTCGCCGGGCATGAGGGCGCTGAACGTGCATAGGGCGGCGTCCTCCGTCGTCAGGGGCGTGAGGCGCTTGTAGCGTCGCACCTGCCGAGCACAGCGCCGTCAGGAGGAGGCAAAATAAAAGGTCTTTACGTCACCTTAACGGCGTAAGGACAAGGCAAAATAAAAGGTCTTTACGTCACCTTAACGGCGTAAGGACAAGGCAAAATAAAAGGTCTTTACGTCACCTTAACGGCGTAAGGACAGTCACCTTAACGACGTCAGGACGAGGCAAAATACGAGGTGTTCATGTCACCTTAACGACGTCAGGACGAGGCAAAATACGAGGTGTTCATGTCACCTTAACGACGTCAGAACGAGGCACAATAGGAGGTGTTCACGTCACCTTAACGACGTCAGGACGAGGCACAATAGGTGGTGTTCACGTCACCGTAACGGCGTCAGGACGAGGCAAAATACGAGGTGTTCATGTCACCTTAACGACGTCAGGACGAGGCACAATAGGAGGTGTTCACCGTTTCACGTCACCGCAGCAGCATCGCAGGTACAAAAAAGGTACAGACAGCATCGCTGTGCCTGACACCGATATAAGGCATCATTGTATTGACATCATCGATGACCGTGGCACGCCCCATTCAATAGGCGTCAGGCATCCCTGCAGGCATCACGGCCTGAACCACCAGGAACAAGGCATCCCTGCAGGCATCACGGCCTGAACCACCAGGAACAAGGCACTCAGAACCTGTATCCCTTCCGTGTGACTCGTACACTGGGCACGACCTTAGACCCACGATCTTCCTCGCACGATATGTTTACTCAACACTTCTTACATTAATAATAATATCTCACCTCAACAATAATATAAGATAATAATAATATAATAACAACACCTCACCTCGACCTGCTCCCCCGTACATAGGGCGAGGTCCTCCACCAGGTGCACGGCGCCCTCCTCGCCACACACGTGCACCTCCCGCGCACACACCCCCAGCAGGGCGCGCGTCCAGGCCCAGCCGCGTAGGGGGTCCCGGAGCAGCTGCACCTCGTCTATGATCGCTACGTCGTCTGCAGTCATTATAGCTTAATTATATCTATAATTATAGCTACGTCGTCTGCAGTTATTATAACTTAATTATAATTATGTCTATGTCGTCTGCAGCCATTATAGCTTAATTATAATTATAGCTACGTCGTCTGCAATACCACTCGTCCTACAGCAACTTGATCTCTTTAGATTATCTATCGCTTCATATGCTCCTTCAAACTCATCAAATAATGTGAACGATAAATTGCCATCAAGTAAAATAACTAAATTTAACAATGTTGACTATTAATAGCACAGTTGTCATGCACTAAGCAATATGAAGTGCTTTAGGTCGGTCAGTTGAAGAGTAATGATTAATATAACAATAATAATTATTACACTTGTGCTGTAGGGAGACCATCTCTACGGTGCAGGCTGTGTGTGGGGAGGGCGTGAGGTCAGGGCTGCTGTAGCGCCGCTCCTCCCCCGTCACCAGGTCACAGGGCGTCCCCTGCAGGGGGGGAGTGAGGGGAGTGATGTAACACTACACAGCAGCTTAGGGGCCAAATTATCAAAACATTGTAAATTTTTGTACTTACGACAAAAAGTTACGTGTTATGTAAGTACGTCCTAATTTTGGCATTATCAAAACTTTCGTACGCAAGGCATTATCAAAACCATCAGGTTAACTGACCAATCAGAGGCTTTGGATTTGCTCTTCCTATAGCTCCAGTAAGCTCATCTCAACCAGTGCGCAGTGCGCTTGGACGAAAGCAGGTTGTGTGGTGTCAGCGGCATTTGCAGTGCCTGACTAGGGTGTATTGGATAAATAAGTGAGAAGTTATCCAAATAGCAATGTACTTGTTGTTGTGATCATTAACCGAAATTTCTTGCAATAAGGGCAAATAAATGCATTATTACCATTCAAAATTAGAAGAATTTTTTAGAAGGTTACAAAGAATTCAGAAAATTTCGTGAGTTGGAGTTGCGACTGTCATAAAAAGAAATAAATTTGTTTACAGAGAACTAGAAAAATGGTTGGCTTTTCAACCTCAATCTATTTTTGAATCAAAAAAGGCATCAGGATATTGTTTCAAGTGAATGATCATAAAACTATTAGATATGAATACAAACATTTGCTTGTAAATTATAGCACAAAAGGCAATTGACATTTTTATCCCAAAAGCACTGTTTAGCACGATTACATATTATATGTCGGATTATTGACAAAATTCTGTCACAATTCACCATGTTACTACTTGCTTGTAAATCAATAGTTTCGTATCGCTTCAGCAGACACTCTAAACTTGTGCGGAACTCCACTTACGACATCTCTGAGCAGGCGTACAGTTACGTTACGTAGCTTCCAGCACAAATGTTTTGATAATACCACCTCTAGAGTTACGTCATCAAGACAGCACTTACGCCTCTCGTAAGTCGATTTTGCGTACTTACAAAATTTTGATAATACGGCCCCAGGCCACACAGAACTCCACTGCACTCATGTCCACCACCAGACCCTCTAACTCCACCAGACTCTCTAACTCCAACAGACCTTCTAACTCCACCAGACCTTCTAACTCCACCAGACCTTCTAACTCCACCAGACCCTCTAACCCCACCAGACCCTCTAACTCCAACAGACCCTCAAACTCCAACAGACCCTCTAACTCCACCAGACCCTCTAACTCCACCAGACCCTCTTAACTCCCCCAGACCCTCTAACTCCCCCAGACCCTCTAACTCCCCCAGACCCTCCAACTCCACCAGACCCTCTAACTCCCCCAGACCCTCTAACTCCACCAGACCCTCTAACTCCACCAGACCCTCTAACTCCACCAGACCCTCTAACTCCACCAGACCCTCTAACTCCACCAGACCATCTAACTCCACCAGACCCTCTAACACCACCAGACCCTCTAACACCACCAGACCCTCTAACTCCACCAGACTCTCTAACTCAACCAGACCCTCTAACATCAGACCAGTCCCTCTAACTCCACCAGACCCTCTAACTGCAGACCAAACCTTCTCGTTACTCCTACTGCAAACCAGACCTTCTCGTTACTCCTACTGAAGACCTCGGCAGCGAGCAGCTTGAGGGGCCCGCAGTAGACCCCAGATTCGGCCTGGAGGAAGGCCTCCATGGCGTGGTAGGTCTTGCCGCTGTTCGTGGGGCCCGCGTGGAATATCAGCTTGCGGTTCATCGCGCGAGCCTCGGGGTACCTGCGCAGCGTTTGTATTGCACAATATAATATTTTTATATACCTTATAAATAGAATATATGTACCTCATATACGAGCCTCGGGGTACCTGCGCACGGTTTGTATCCTACAATATAATATATAATATACCTTATATACTAATATATGTACCGTAAACTGGGGTAACTTTGACCACTTTTTTTTTCAAAATGATGCAATTTTTTTACTAGATAAGTTAAACTTAGATTGAAACATGCAAAATACAGGTCTATACTCTAGCTTTACTCACCATAAATTGCTGGCTCCTGCCTCTCATAGTTTTGATGTAATTTCAAAAAAAGTGATGGTCTTTGTTACCCCTGTCTCTTATACACATCTAGATGTGTATAAGAGACAGCGTCACCACTCACCAATTAACAGGAGTGGTGAGGTCACCACTCACCAATTAACAGGAGTGGTGAGGTCACAACTCACCAATTAACAGGAGTGGTGAGGTCACAACTCACCAATTAACAGGAGTGGTGAGGTCACAACTCACCAATTAACAGGAGTGGTGAGGTCACCACTCACCAATTAACAGGAGTGGTGAGGTCACAACTCACCAATTAACAGTAGTGGTGAGGTCGCCACTCACCAATTAACAGGAGTGGTGAGGTCAGATATCTTGCAGAGTTCGCCCATGCAGAGGAGGTGGGGGAACACCTGACGGGCGTGCCGCAGGAAGCTGGGGAACAGGTCGTGAACGTGTCCAGCGCCCTGGGGGATGCCAAATACTTTAATATTTGATAATTTTTTATATATGATAATTATTAATTATTTGATAATTATTTTTATATTTATATATTAATTAAATTATTAATTTAGTGAACATGTCCAGCACTCTGGGGGATGAGAAATACTTTAATGTTAGATAATTTTTTTATATATGATTATTATTTCATATTTGATAATTATTTTTATATTTATATGATATTAATTACATTATTAATTTAGTGAACATGTCCAGCACCCTGGGGCATGTGAAATACTTTAATGTTAGATAATTATTTTATAATTTATATGATATCAATTAAATTATTAATTTAATGCACGTGTCACACACCCTGGGGAATCCCAAATACTTTAATATAAAATACTTTAATATAAAATTATTCAATATATTATAATTATTTTAATATTTTTTATAATATTATTAAATTATTATTTTAATATATTTAGAATACTTTAATATTTTCATTGTATGCTACAGAAATCAATTAATTTCAACTCAAACTTAATAAAAGAAAATATACTTATTAAACCTTCCTAGCAACTAAATTGCTTCCAGATTCATGAATGTCATGTTTTTGATAATGCAAATAACAGTGATTAGAAAGTAAGTAAGATATTTCACTTTAAGGCAGCAGGTGGTTTACAATAAAAATTTAAAATAGCATCCAGATTTCTGAATGGGATGCTTATGGTAATTTATGAATATATATTTTCCAGGAGGTTAAATATTTTGATTTAGGAAACACATTTTGTGTAAAAAAGTAAAATATTCCCATTAGAAAGCAAGTGGTATAAATAAAGTACAAGGTTATTCTAAATGATGGGCCCATTTTACTTAATTCATATTTATTTCAGTATAAATTCAAAATTAAAAAGTTATAAATCAATGGAAAGAGAAAGATTCAAAGTTTTTTATACACGTTTATAAATGTTCAGTATGTCTCCCTGGTGCTGCACGGTAAACATCTAAACGGTTGCCATGTAGCACAAGGGGGGACATATTCAACATTTATATATATGTAAAAACATTTGAATTTTTCTCTTTCCATTGGTGTATAAATGATTCATATTTAATTTATACTGGAATATACCTATACAAATTTGATAAATTTGGTCATCATATAGAATAACTTTGTACAATATCTTTTTGTAGGTAGAATAGAATAGAAATAGAATAGAAATAGAATAGAAATAGAATAGAAATAGAATAGAAATATATTCTATATATGGAAGCAGCGCAGACACATGACAGACCTGGGTGATGTCACTGAGCAGAATGTGGAGGTCTGTAGGCAGACTAGACGAGTCTACGCAGTGCTTCCGGAAGCTGATGAACGCCTGCTGGTACAGGTACTCTGAGGGTAGATACATACATGTACAGGTACTCTGAGGGTAGATACATACATGTACAGGTACTCTGAGGGTAGATACATGTACAGGTACTCTGAGGGTAGATACATACATGTACAGGTACTCTGAGGGACATACATGTACAGGTACTCTGAGGGTAGATACATACATGTACAGGTACTCTGAGGGTAGATACATACATGTACAGGTACTCTGAGGGTAGATACATACATGTACAGGTACTCTGAAGGTAGATACATACATGTACAGGTACTCTGGCAGCAGATACCTACGTTCTCTGAACGCCTGCTGGTACAGGTACAGCAGCAGATACATACATTCTCTCATCTTTTGACTTCTTCTCAACATATCAATGATGAAAATTGGTAATGATAACAGTAGAGACTAGCAGCACAATGATAGAGCTGTGCACCCATCCACCATGAGAACCTCCCACCCTGAGAACCTCCCACCCTGAGTACCACCCACCATGAGAACCTCCCACCATGAGAACCACCCACCATGAGAACCACCCACCATCCAGCCCGTGTTCCAGAGCGACCTCCCTCATCTGGGTGTCGGTGTAGAAGGCGTTCAGGACACGGAGTACCTCGGCCTTCACAAGGGGACCTGCAATCTCTTCACCCACATTCACGTCCTCTTTGTTCACCTGAAAACCAGCAAGTTTAAAGTAAATTGTTTACTGTGTAGTGTATACCAATTGGTGCCTTTCAGAGTCATTTTACACTATATATTGTCTGGTGTTCAAGGAAATATGGAAAATTTTCAGATTTATTTTCATCAATGAAGACGTCCAACATATCATTAACCAACCACCTAAATTTTTCTTATTGTCCAAGTCATTAATATGCTTGATGTCCCATTTCTTAGATTCAATATTCCTGTTGTTTTCTCAAATAAGTCATCACAGGAATACATTTGTACCAACTGTTGCTATAGTAATGAGCAACCATGAATAGTTTAAAAATGAGTGCATACTGTGTAGGTACTCTTCTGATTATTCCAACCAAAGTGGTTAGAATAATTTACAACCCAACCTAATAACAGCTAAATAACTGGAATAAAAAAGGATTAGAAGGAAATTTGAAAATCAATAGCCTGAAGGGCTTATAATATTCAACTGCTTTGGAGATTCTCCCACTAATATTTTTGTGGACATCACATCAAATTTGCAAACAAGAGTACTGTAAATGGGGGTGACTTGGGTCCTTTGGACATTTAAGAAAAGAAAAGCCTGTAGGTGTCCATTGATGTCTGCAGTAATTCTAACAGTCATGGTCTTTCAATTGCCCTTAACAATTAAATTTAGGTGCTGATGGTCTCTCTCAGACAACTACAATCTTTGGCCAGATGTGTGCCTTGCTAATGACTTTTTTTCCTCTCGTTCAAAAGCAGTCATTATTTTTGAGACAGCACCTCTTAAAACGTCAAGCATTTGGGAAGTTTGTCATACTGTTACCTCCCATTCAGGCACCAACAATTTGGCCTCTTTGAAAGTCAGAAAAATTTGCCATTTATAAGTTATAGGTTAGGTTAAAGACACAAAAAATTACTAAGAATATTTGTGCATGGATAAAATATCAATTAGCCACAACAATAAAACATAAAAATATGTCACATTTCGATTGTTTATAACTTTTCCAAAATTATGATATTAAAATGTCAGGGGTTTCCCTTATTTGGTCCAACCCTTGTACATGAACTAAAAAACATAATGAAATGTTTAACAATTAAGAAACATATTATACAATGTTTATTTGAATTGACCTCAACATTGACAGGCATGAAGAGGTGGGAGATATTCTTGTTGTTGCCATCACTGGAGTGTGAGGAGGCCCGAGAGTGCCAGGCAGGTAGGGGTGGCACTCGAGTGGCACTGAGCAGGGCCCGCTGGAGGCAGCAGGCCAGCTTCATGCTGCACACAACCAACACCATGAAGGATGGCAAGGCTAGCAGAATAGAGAAGATCTTGTGGCTACCGTCAAATGGGGTAATAAGGGACGGGCGGGGTAAATCGGGACAGTCGTCCCACATTTCATAGAAATGTTGTAGCAGTTAAACTAATCAAAATATTGCAAAACTAAAAATACTAGTGGTGTAAATTTCAACATTTTTACAATCTATGTAGCATAAAGCAAGTTAAGAAATCATACATTTACTACCTACTTCTCAAAAAATCCCTGAAATAAAGTGTGAAAAGTGAGATTTTGGAAGAGTACCTCTGATAAGGTCTGTAGCAAAAAAAAATATATATATATAGGTATATATTTGCGATATTAAAAAATTTTACCTACATAAAAGTTGCATACCGGTGTTGGCCTAAAAACATAATTGACAGAATTTGCATATCTCATCCCCAAAAAAATGCCGGCCGTTTCCGTGAGACGGTGTAATTAGTGACACCCCCCTGAGGTAATAAGGGACACCCAAGAAAAGGCATTTACAGTAGAACCTTGATTAGCAAAGGCTCCAGTTAACAAAAAATCAATTACAACAAAAAATTTCAAGTACATTTACTTTGCTCACCGAAAAAATTTCACTTAATGCAAAATTAATGCATCATAGATCATCACAAAATTGTGCATAGAATGTCATAGACAAAAGTGTGAACCAGGCAACATAGAATGAAACATATATATAATCAACCTAAACTATGATTTATTTCTCTAAAAAATATGATGGTTGTCACTAAAATATTCCTTTCTGTTTCAGTATGTTTTTTACAATTTTTTTTTTGTTATAGTGAAATCAATTGATCCAATTAAAATGGTGTGAAATTATAAGTCGTCCTGTAAGCTTACAGATACAGAAGAAATGCTACATGGCTGCTGATATGAAGCTTGCAGTAGACAAGGTCGTTGTAAATGCTCAATGGCATGTTCATGGGCCTCATGGATATGGTAATATCATATAAATAAAGGAAAAACAAGTAAAAATCACAGAAATGTCATTTATTCTACATGTACATCATCTACAAAGGAAGAGGATTTCAGAGTAGGTACTGTTAGTAATAGATGAGTACACTTTGCATGCGTCAAACATTTTGAAATTGGGTTTCATTTCAAGTGTCCTAGATTACCCCATTCTCAGGGGTAATTTGGGAGGCTTTTATTTTACATCTGGCACATTACGTAGAGCAAATTGATTTTTTTCCAAAGATGTCATACAATAGCCCTTGCAAAGAGCTCTGTAAAATGAGCCCAAATTTGTTTATGAAATGTTTCATGGTAAAAAGTTATTAATGAAAAATGCTCAAAACCGTCCCTTATTATTTTGTTTGATGCTAATACAATGAAAACAAAGCTAGTAAAGGCCAATGAAAAAAGAAAAAAATAGAGAGGAGAAACAAGTGGGGCAACACAACAAGAACAGGGGATATCTTACATGGTTCTGCAGTGTGGCACTCTTTATTAACAAGAGCAAACAAAAATTAAGAATGAATGAAGTTGACCTAAAAGCAGCAGATGAATTATTAACTACAGCAGGAGAATTAATAACACTGCTTGAATCTTAACAGGTTGGTGTAGGATTCTTAAACTTGAATGAGAATTAAATACATCAAAAATGAAGATATTATGCTGATGAAGTGATTAATGTCCTGCCAATACACATGATCAGCAAGTGTGTCAACTTGATTTCACAAGTGGAATCCTAATCTTTTGCAAGAAAATAACAAACCTTTACTAATTAAAGTACACAATATAGAAGCACAAGATAAATGTACAGCAGTCTTACATATTAAAAATACTCACCGTCTGTGAAGCTGGGAGAGCATGTGTCTATGGTCTCAACACGTCAATTTGAGAAAACAAATTTTGAATACAAGAGCAACTAAGCCATGATGCATTAGGGGAGAAATGAACTCAAACAAATGAGCTGTGGACACAGAAAAAAATTAATGCTGGCAATAGTCATTTTATTTATTTAGCAAGTATTAATAACAAGAGAGATACTTTGAAGTTTATCAATGTTAACAGCATTGAAATCCACACAGAAACTTATTTTTTTATATTTTTTAAGCTCCTAAGGACTTGAAACCACACTTCAACCAGGCCTTTTGCTTTCAAATTCAAAAGTTTCAACTATGCAAGCTGCCACTGCTGCTGGCACAGCTTGCTGCTGATACTGCTCCGCCCGTTTTTGACCAAGGTGATCCATTTTAAGGTAGTGTTCATTATGGATAAAAGTACCTTGAATTATTGACTGCTAATTTTGTTCGTTAGGAATATGTTCAGGCTAAAATTTATCATAAAAGTTGTATCCCCATATTCACATGCTTCAGTGCAAGTAAAATTCATCACTTGAAAATATAATTTTGATGCATAACTTGAAAATTCGTCATGTGAATTCTCCATTACTACGTATTCAATACAGTATCAACTAAGTTCTTGGTGAAAAGTTTTCTATGAACAACAGCCATGATGGTGAAATAGAAAAAAATACAAATAATATTCATTATACTAAAAGTACCTAGAGAAAATTAGTAATATAGGAGGAATTTTATTTGGTTGATATTCAATAAAAATAAGTACGGTACTAATTATTCAATTTCATAAAATTAAAGAAGAAGTGAAGCATATTTCAAGTCTAGAATGGCCCATGGACAGATTGCAGCACCAGCAGCAGTAAGCAAAGGAACTCCTTTATTGTTTAGTATTCAAACTAAGATAATAATATTGTATTCTGTTTAGGCAGAGTCTCTTAAAGGGTTCCAGCAACATTATTTCCATTATTAATTATTTTTTTATTTGGAGCACACTAAGTTGTTGCATCAATTGACGTCACAGGCGATGGATCACGTGTGCATGTGTGATGTCACCGCAAGCCCAAGCTCTGCCTCCCAGCCAGCAAGACAGAAACAGTGCGGCAATGTCAACTAACGTGGCTGATGATTGTGAATATTTTTGATTGTGATATTGTAATAGGTACTTTGATTATGATATAGTGAAAATTTTTGATTGTGATATTGACAGTATTGTCAACATTCAAATGACCAAGTTTGAATGTTGGACTCATGAGTTAAGAGGTGAAAAAAATGAAGGACTGAACTTGGGGAAGGGAGCAGGAAAGATGGCTGAGCAACCAAGGAAAGTAGGTTCTTGTCATTTTTACAGTCATTGATGGCTTTGGAATCAAAAGAAGTAATTAAGAAGTTTCACAATTAAAATCTTTACTATTTAATTTGAATTGATTTCAAAGCTCTACACATTGGTAGAGTCTAGACTGAGTTGCAAGAAGCCCACAGGTTGAATTGCTCATTCGGAGCAGGGCCAGGGAATGTATATGCGCTGGGTTTAGACTGTTGCAAGGGTCCACAGCACAAAGAGGCAAGCCAAACTCCAAACCACGGTGAAGAAGCAGTTAGCAGACCACCCTAAAGACTACCTTTCCTAGATTTCCAATTTGTCAATAACTATAAGAGCGCCTGCTTTAAACTTTATTGTATTTTAATGAATAGAATTTTGGATATTGAAGTCATAATTACCATAGGTATTCCATTAAAATAGCTGCTTTTAGCTTTTAGGAGTAATTTTCATATGAACATTCAAATGAAAATAAATTACTGAACAATTGACCTGAGATTTATCATTATTTATCTTAACCCCTTTTGCAGGCAAGCATAGAAGTACCTATGCATTATTTGCAATTTTAGGCCAAAATTTAAGGTAGAAGAGAAAACTAATAAAAAATTGATTCTACAAATAAGTACCAGCACTGTGGCTTACACAGTTACAGATACACTTACAGTGTCATGGTGCAAGCATTAAACTGATTAAAGCATGGAAAACATCTACAATCAATGTAATTTTTTATGTCATTGATATCACTTTGGATTTTGGAAGTTGGAACTAACTTATAGAAATTTCCCAGTTAAAATCTATACGGTACTGATTTATCTAGCTATATCAATTTTAAAACTTTGCAAATTTCTAGAGGAAGTTGCAATGACACTATGGGACTAATGGGAGTATGGGGTAGGACCGTTCACTGTTGTGCTTAAAAGTTAGACCATTGCAGGTTGCAGCTTGGGCCCGGAGCTTGCAATTGGGCCCCAAGGGCAAAGAGCCCCCCTACCCCTGGCCCCTCCCACGGCTGAGATTTGGGAATTTATAACTATTATCTATAGTAAGTTTTGGGCACTGCCACAGTGCCACTGCCACAGGGAATTTTATCAATTCAAGGACCAAAATTATGAGTCAAACAATTTAGAGTCAGATTGGATGCAGGATGTTCACTGTAGGATATTGTGGTAAACTTTTTGGATGGGGTTGGCTATGCGGCCTATCATCATGCCTATGGGCTCCAGCCTCCAGGGCTAGGGCTCTTGCTGCTATGGCAAGACTCGACGCTGCAGAGGCCGAGCTTGCCTCGCTCCTTCGTAACATCTCAGACTGGTTGGCAGTCAAGAAACTGGCCGTGGCTCCTGGCAAGTCCTCAGTCACACTCTTCACCCCAGATATGCACCAATCCCAATACCACCCATCTGCCACCATCTGCAACGGCATCATCCCACTGGACAAAACCCCCAAAATCCTAGGCGTCACCTGGGATACACACTTCACTTTCTCCCCTCATGCAAGAGCCATAGCCACAAAAGCGACGGGTTCTCTCCGCATATTAAAAGCCCTTGCTGGCACCAACTGGGGCTTCTCCAAGGAGGACATAGTTCGATAGTTGCCACCTACCAGGCCATCACACGCCCAATTCTCAACTACGCGGCCCCCATCTGGTACCCTGTTGCCTCCCGTACAGCAGTTGCCAGCCTGCAGATCATACAGAATACTGCATTGAGACTAGCCACCGGCTGCCTCAAAATGGCCCCGATCTCCCATCTGCACCAGGAGACCGCCAACCGGCATCCTTCTTTTGCCTGAGCACCTGGACCTGGCCTGCGCCCAGTTCCTCGCCAGCGCCCTCCAGCCCTCCCATGCCTCCTTTTGCATGATTTCTGCCCCTCTGGGTGACCACCCTGTGAAAGCCTTGATCATAGTGGCAAAGCAGAGAGTTTTTTAGACTATCCCTCAATTTAATTTGTGAGTCCTATAAGTAGACCAGTAAAGTATCCTGGATACCAGCAGTATCATACATAAGGAATTGATTTAAATCTTGGGTAAAGGAGGAAATTGAAAATGAACTGATTCCAAAAAAGCTGTGGCTGCTGTGGTTTGCCACTATGGCCTTGATACAGTCGAGCCTCGAGGTTCGGCCATTTTGTCACACCACTCTTGACAAATGGTATCCTGCCTGCTAGGACATACAGAGAAGCCAAGCGGTCTCTCTGCAGGGAGATTACCTCCCACGTGGCGGCGACTGCCGTCATAAACGCTGTCCTTGCTGCCCCGCCACCGCCGATTGGGGGCCCCCACTGTGCAGAGAGCGGATGAATATAGCAAGATCTTTGGCAATGCTTCAGTAGCAAAATTTACGCCTTCAAAAGATCTTGCCAACACATTTAGATTGAAATTCTTGCATTTAATATATTTGTCAGTCTTCGGCCAGTGGCCACTGCAGCCAACTATTTAAAAAAAGTAAGGTTTCTGATATGTTGGATGGATCAGGATGCAGATGCAGTGAAGCTTGTCTGGAAATCAGTTGCAATGAGTTCCCACCAAAAAAATGTAAACACCAAGCTTATGATTACGTAGTTGTGGTCACATTAGAGCAGTCAGACTGCCACTGCATTATCGCATGTTCAGTTGACACTTGCTGTACAATCGGACAGTTTTTAGGGTAAAATTAGTTATTTGGGGTAACACGTGCATGCAACCTTGTAAATAAGTTCGTGGCTTGTAAATAGTTTTTCATTACTCAGCGTAAATGGCTTTTCATTAAAAACTACGGTACCTGGCGATGCATCTTAAAATTACCCGGCGTCCGGTGACGCTTAGGGCTTAAAAACCCATATATTGGCGACGCTGCATGCCTGCATCCACCCTCTGGCTGCGCCCTGGCCGATTGCTTCAGTGAAGACCTCACTCCCCTGCCCCTACCGCTCAGCGTTATCACAGCTCCGATCGGGATACTGCAGCTCCCTGGTGTCCTATTCCACCAGGATCGGACGCTCCCTTAGCTCCGCCTGCCAGGAGTGCGGGGATCCCCTCCAATCCGTTCAGCACCTCTCTGTCTGCCCCGCCTTCCCCACGTCTCCAGTCTAGTGGTCTCCTCACTGTGGGTGTGGGACAGCCACATGGTCCCGTGGAGGCAGCGGGCAGCGGCTTTCCTGGCCACCCTCCCTAACTTAGTCCACGCCCCACCTTCCTCCTCTTCTGGTTCCAGCCCCCCGCCCACCACCAGACCAGAGCCTCCCCCCCCAGCCCCGGCAAGCGTGACGGTCACAACCAACAACAACATGGCCCTTGCTTAGGTATATTGATTCACACAATCCGCTTCAGCATCTGACTAGTGACCACCGTCCACTGACGATGACTGACCATCGCCGCCTTCCGAAATCCAAATTAATGACTAGTATTGAGTAATGAGTATTCAGTTGTTACTTGTTACATTGTATTTTTTCCTCTCTACAGTGTAGACTGTAGAGTAGGGTCTGCACTACACCGTTCTATTTTCTGTAGCTAAATGAATAAATAACTATAAACGTATCTACCGCCCTTCTTGTGCACCACCTCTCCAGGCTCTAGCTAAGCAACAATGAAGACTTGAATCGAGATGGAATCAGAATCTGAACTCTCGTTGAATCTCGTTGAATTTTTAGCACCAGCCTTCTTGGGCATCTGGTGCTTTGGTCAGAGCTTGTGATATTGTTCTTTAGAGCTTGTCAATGATGTCCGTCTTTGACAGAAAGGTAACTAGTTTCTCAGCTGGAAAATCATCTCTTAGTAGAGATGTCAGTGTGAAAGGCCAGTTCATCTCTTT